AAAGCTCCGGGAACAGATGGAATAACAGCTGTTTACTACAAGAATTTACAGTCTGAAATGGTAGAACCGCTTAGAGTTTTATTTTGTAAAATTCAATCGTGGGAGGAGTCCCACCCTCTTGGAGAACAGCTTTTGTTTCATTGATCCCGAAGGAAGATCAAAACTGTGCCAAACCTGAAAATTTTAGGCCAATATTACTTTTGAATACTGATTACAAAATCTTTGCCAAGATTAATAAGATACGTGACTCTGACAAAATAAAAGGAATTGTAAATAGACGGCAAGATTATAGATTAAGAGCATTTGCAGATGACTTGGTTGTTACTTTATCTCAACCTATAGAATCAGCTCCACACATGTTGGACATAATAAGTCAATATGGTAGGGTATCTGGATTTAAAGTAAATCAACATAAGACAAAGATGATAACTAAAAATATGTCTATATCTCAAAGAGAAGATTTAGGAAGAATAACGGGGTTTGAAATAGTTAAAAAGGTTAAATATCTAGGAGTATATATTGCAGCCTCAAATACAAAATTATTTAAAAACAATTATGAAGTTCTCTGGCAAAAAGTGCAGAAAGAAATGGAGAATTGGAAAAAGTTACAACTATCTCTACTGGGAAGGATAGCAGTAATAAAAATGAATGTATTACCCAGGTTTTTATTTTTGTTTCAAATGATATCAGTCCTTAAGAAAGATGGAAATTTGAGGGAGTGGCAGCAAGGGGTTAATACTTTTATTTGGGGTGGGAAGAAACCAAGAGTGAAATTGAAAATTATACAGGATATAAGTGAGAGAGGAGGTCTTAAAATGCCTAATTTAAGATTGTATTATGAAGCAGCTGTTTTATCACAAATTAGTGATTGGTTTAACTTAACTGAAGAGAGAATGTTAAATATAGAAGGTTAAGACCTGTTATATGGATGGCATACTTATTTGTTATATGAAAAAAAAGTGGATAAAGTGTTTAAGGGTCATATACTTAGAAATGCGTTGTTGAGGGTTTGGAAAAAGTATCAATATAAGATAAACTACAAGATACCTATATGGGCAAATCCCAGACATGCAATAGAAAATGTAAGTATAGAACAAAAACAGGAGGTGATTACTTATAAAGAACTTCTTTTTATGGAAAGGGGTAAACTGCAATTGAAATCTTTAAATGTACTGAAAGAAGAAGGGATAATTTATACTTGGTTTCAGTATGGTCAGCTTCAAGCTAGATGGAGGGAAGATCAAAAAATTGGTGTCATGCAAAGTGAAGAAAACCTGGTAAAACAGATTAGAGATCAAAGTCAGATGCATATTAAAAGGTTGTATAACGCTTTACTGGAAATAGATTCAGAAGCGGAATTGGTTAAGGATTGTATGATAAAATGGGCACAAAACTTTCAGGAACCAATGATGATAGAAACATGGGAAAAGATTTGGGTTAGAAATGTTAAGCACAAAACCTGAGAGAGAATTTTTATAAAATGTTTTATAGATGGCATTTAGATCCTAAAAAATTATCATGTATGTACCCGAACTTGCAAGCTAAATGTTGGAGATGTGAATGTGATGATGCAACTTATTATCACATATGGTGGACTTGTAAGAAAATTAAGGCATTTTGGATAAAAATTTGGTGGGTGATGCAGAACATTTTGAAAAAAAGGTTGAAATTTACTCCTCAATTGTTTTTATTGGGTATAACGATGGATTGTACAGCATTAGAGACTAAACTGATTTTAAACTTAATATCAGCAGCTAGGCTGTTGGTAGCGCAATACTGGAAGAAGGACTCTTTGCCTACTATTGAAGAATGGACATTGAAAGTAGCGAATTTAGCAGAAATGGCGAAAATTTCAGCGTATTTGAAGGACTATACACAAGAAAGATACATATCGGAATGGAGAAGAGGATTGATTATATTCAAAATAAGTATCAGACAAGAAAATATCAAATAGCTTATGAATGAATGTTAAATTCTAGCCATAGTGGAGTTAAGGTTTCAGGGGGGGGATTTGGTAGTTTAAGAATAAGTTACCGTATTTTCCGGCGTATAAGATGACTGGGCGTATAAGACGACTCCCGAATTTTCCTGTTAAAATATAGGGTTTGGGCTATACTCGCCGTATAGGACTACCCCTCTTCCAACGCACACCAAATAAAAATTAAAAAACATCAACTGGCTCACCCACAATGTAAAAGCAGCTGTGCTAGACCCAAAATGGCCCCTGAAAGAAGCAGGAACCTCACACAGCCACAAAAAGCCCCCCCCCAAAAAAAACAACTTTCACACTTTACACACACACAACACAACACAACACAACACAACTGGCTCACCCACAATGTAAAAGCAGCTGTGTTAGACCCAAAATGGCCCCTGCAACAAGCAAGAACCTCACACAGCCACAAAAAGCCCCAAAACCCAACTTTCACATTTTACACACACAAAATTCCACATACAGCTTTGTGAGATTTTGTGTGTTTGTGTAGTTAGAGTAAAACACTACAGAAACACACTAAATCTCAGAAAGCTGCACAAATATTATTTTATTTTATTTTATTTTTATTTTTATATGAAAGCTAAATTTAAAACTTCCTAAACTTTAAATGGCTAGGTCTAAAAAAGAACAACTAAAAAAACCCCCCCATTAACTATTTTTTTTAAAGATCCCAAAGGGGAAAAAAACTTACCCAATAGAACAGGGGTCTCCAACCTTGGCAACTTTAAGACTTGTAGACTTCAACTCCCAGAATTCCTCAGCCAGCTTTGTTTTGCTGGCTGAGGAATTCTGGGAGTTGAAGTCCACAACTCCCTGTCTGCTTGATTGCAGGCGGGGAGTTGCTTGCTGATGGAATGGATTCAGGCAAGCGAAGCAAAGCAAGCGAAGCAAGGCAAGCAGCTAAGGTAAGCAAGCTGGAGGGGGAAAACTTTTTTCCTTCTCCATGGCTCTGGCGATCCCAGCTGAGTTGCCTGATTAGCAGATCGTCAGAGCTTGGATCGCCAGAGCCATTTAAGGCTCGTCAGAGTCTTTCGGGCTGGTCTGCCTGGTTACAGGAGAACGACACCGGGCGTATAAGATGACCCCCGACTTTTGAGAAGATTTTCATGTGTTAAAAAGTCATCTTATACGCCGGAAAATACGGTAGGTTAATTTAGCTTATGATTGTTAATTGAAATACCCTGTATTTTGCTCTGGGAAGTCTCGGGGGGAGGGTGGGATGGGAAGGGGGGTGGGGGTGGGGGGGAGGGAAAAAGGGGTGGGGGGAATATTGGGGGGGAAATTTTCTTTGTAAAACTTTTCAATAAAAAAAAAAAGATCTAAGATCCAGTATCATATAATGTGCGCTTTCTCAAGCATATTTAGCCACTTCCTCAATTAAAAAGAAACTCAGTTTGGTGTAACAATCAAAGCATTGGGCTAAAAATGGGAGGCCAGGAGTTCTAGTCCTGTCTTAGATTTAAAAATCCATCTAGCTGAGCTTTAGCTAGTCCTCTCTTACCCTATGAAGGAGCCAAAGCAAATTACTTACCAAAAAACTTGTCAAGAATATTGCAGGGACTACGGGTAGTCCTTGACTTATGACCACAACCAAGCCCGAGATGTATGTTACCAAGTGAGATGTTTGTTAAGTTTGAGTTTTGCCCCATGTTATGACCTTTCTTGCCACAGTTGTTAATTGTTGCAGTTATTAAGTTAGTAACACAGTTATACAAGTGAATCTGGCTTCCCCATTGATTTGTCTTGTCAAGGTTGCAAAAGGTGAACATGAACCCAGGACACAGCAACCGTCATAAATATGAATCAGATGCCAAGCATCTGAATTTTGATTATGTGACCATGGATATGCTGCAATGGTCGCAAGTGTGAAAAACAGTCATAAGTCACTTTCTTCAGTGCTGTTGTAACTTTGAATGGTCACTAAACAAACTGTTGTAAGTCAAGGACTATCTGTACAACATATTTTCCCAAATATATGTGAAATAGATTATTTAGTAAAACCAATATAAATGAATTTCAACAGCAATAAATACCATGAAAGGAAGAATAATATTGTTGAGACTTCCAGGACAGAGAAATTGATGATTGTCCCACACTAAATGGCTATGGGAGGAAACAAAGCTTTTCTTTTTCCTGGCTTTGTATTAAAGTCCAAACTAAAATATCTGATGCTAAGCTCTGCTTTGAGGTAATCATTACTGAGCCCTTGAATTTTTTTTTCTTAAATTAACATTTAATTTAGGTTAGTCTAATAAGAATGCTGCTAAAATGTAGATGGCACTGAAAATAATACAGTAACCTGAGTTCCATTAAACAAGAAAGTCTCTGGGCCAAACTTAATTCTTGGTGACTGAATGGATACATCCATGTTGGGCTACAGTGAAAAGGTTTCCCCTTGCCTTTTGGGATATTGCTTTGATTTCCCAATTTAGCCTACAGCCTTAGGATTTCCTTGATGATTCCCAGGTACAACCCTCCTTAATTTTTCTCAGGTTAGCCAAGGTTGGCTTTAACTTGTTATGTCCTGCAATAGATTAATTAAATAATTTCAACTATTGACCATACACCTCAGTTACAAGGTTGGCTACAAATAGAAAACAATAGCACCCAGTAAATGAAATGATGCCTACAGTAGGTAATACAGTTGCAGCCATTCTATTGAAGGTAATACTGCATTTAGAGTATTTAAAAAAGCAATTGGACTACTCAATTTATATTTTTCTATTGTATTCTTTGAATTTTTGGAATTATAGATTTTAACAAGCTTGTTTAAATAATGCTTTGCTATCTCTTCCTGTTTATATAATACTAAGGAACACTGCTCTAAAAATGAGCTCTCAAAACAGTATATATTTACTATGGAGAACAATGTTTTTTACAAACTCCTAAAATTGTTTATCATTCATATCAAGATGTGCCTACTGTTTCTATCCGGAACAGAATATCAATATCTTTATAGGGGTTACAGTCACCAGACAATAATCTATTTAAAACAATTACTTACATTGCCCATTCTAGTTTTTCATTTTTTATGGAGTTATACAGGGTCTGAAACAAGAACATAATATTACTAGAATATTTCTGAATATCTATTAATCATTATTAAATTTTCTGATATGGGAAATATTTTTACAGTTATCCTAATGCAGGGTATTACAGATAAAATTTGCACTTGCTCAGCATTCTGTGTACAAAAACTAGACATAGCCATTTTGCTTCAGCACTGAAGGCACAGGACAATATCTTTCATTTCCCAGGGACAATAAGCCAGATCAGTTTAGTTTAGAACAAGGTGTGCAATAGACATTTGTTCTTGAACACCCTCAAGCTGCCTCCTTTGTTTAATGGCCAGCCCTATATGGAAAAATAGATTTGAAGAGCTTGTTTATTTATTTTGTAACCATTATTCAGAGTATACGAGCAATGAATAATCAAGACATAATAAATGCTTTGGTTTTCTACTAGCATTTTTAGAACTATCTTACTGTTTTATCTTCATAGCTCTGGTTTTAAGAAGATTGTAACTGAAATAAAATTCTTCAATAATAATGGTCTAATTTAAGTGAGCTTTTTTTGTAAAGAACCAATTCTATAAGATAGCTAGCTGTTTGATATAAATCTATATTAATCATGTTAACAGTGGTACAGACTACATGACCATTCTGCATTACTTCTTAGATTTTACTTCTTGTAGAACCTGTTTTTTTTTTTGTTTTTTTTACTGTGAGAAGGGTATAGAAATAAACATCTGTTTGGAAAAACCTGTATAGCAATAACAGTGGAAACCGCTCAGAGAGGGCTGTAAAGCACTGTGAAGCAGTCTATAAATCTAAGTGCTATTGCTATAGAAGTCTTAGACTTATAGACTGCTTCACAGTGCTTTACAGCCCTCTCTGAGCGGTTTCCAGAGTCAGTACGTTGCCCCAAACAATCTGGGTCCTTATTTTACCGTCCTTGGAAGCATGGAAGGCTGAGTCAACCTTGAGCTGGTGAGAATTGAACTGCCGACTTGCTGGCAGCTGGCAGTCAGCAGAATTAGTACTGCAGGACTGCATCCTAACCACTGGGCCACCACGGTTCTTATATCGCTCTATTACACTTTACAGCCCTGTCTGAGCAGTTTACAGAGTGAGCATATTACCCTCAACAATCTGGATCCTCATTTTAGTGACTTTGGAAAGATGGAAGGCTGAATCAACCCTGAGCCCATAAGGACTGAACTCCTGGCTATGGGCCATTACATGACAAAGTGCAGTTAGAAATTAATATGTAATTGGAGCACATAGATATTTGACAATTGCATCATATTCTGATACTTTATGTTATCTCTATTTTCCTTTCCAAGTTTGTATTACTTCAGAAGGTAATAGAAGAAGCAATTTGAATGTGAGCAGCTTCCTACTTACACAAAATAAGTGCTTTAAATAAAAACTTTGTAGCACCCTTAAATCTTTTCAGGTGGTTTTCAACAGACAGAAGGCTTTAACATGAAAGACATTGGAATTCAGTACTTTCTATATTTGTAAGCTGAAGTAGTATAACATTTTTTCTGATGATTTGCATTGAGTTTCATCAATCTGAAGGCCTCTAGATGTCTTGACCTATAATTTCCATAATCTCCAAGCATCATGTCCATTAATTATGTAAACTGAATGATATGGATTATAGTCCAAGACATTTGTAGAACAGGGTGACAAAGACTGGTATAGACAATATCTTAAGAATGAAAATGAGAATTTGCAGGTGGAGCATGTAAGCAGTGCAGAGGTGGGTTCTGCTTACCTTTACTACCGGTTTGCAACAGGGCCGCGCACGCGCGCTTGCTTCGCTCACGCACACGCTCTTCTGCGCAAGCACAGAAGCATTTTCATGATGTCAGGGTCAGTGGGCGGAGCCTCCCACTGGTTTTACTACTGGTTCTATAGAACCGGTGCGAACCGGGGGTAACCCACCACTGAAGCAATGGTAGCTTATCATCCACTAATTTATGTGTAGTGTGAATAGGGTCTCGGCTTCAGCCCCCTGGCCTTTTATCAATCATAATGACTCATTTTGGGGCATAGCTTTACCTTTAACAGATCCTTTGCAAAATCTTTCCCATCATTTAGTCCATCCAGATTTGCTGTAAACTGTTGGCAGGACATCTTTTTCCCAATATTCTATAATGCAGAAGAGCAGATCACTGGACACCTTTTTTCAAAAAACCATAATGTTTTAAATATTACATGAAATATGTGAATATTCAGATAAATGAGGCAGATGTTTCCTATATAGCAATATTTCTCTAGAGATCAGGTCCAAAGTGCAGCAGAATGGAAAAGGAAGAAAAATAATAGAGTCATTTTATAAGCAGCTATCTTTTAAATGAATCAGGTTTGCATGTGAACATGAAGTGAACTAAAAGATTCTATTCCTGAAAACTTCCCAGAGAAATGAGAAAAAGGATTCCTTATTGTAATCTCACTGGCCTCTTTCCTTAAAATCAGTTTGAAAAGCCCTTTTCATCTAGTACTGCATCATGGGACTCCAAAGTGCTTAACTGATAAACTATCAAAACCAGAAGCTTACCTGGAGGTGGAGGAGAGGCAATGACCTGTCCTAAGCCATTTCAAACAGTTGTAGTCCCTGTTCACATATTGCTGAGAGGTTCCTATAACATATCTAGTATATTTCCTTATGCTAGATATGTAAAATATTTTACATTACGGCTTAAAAAATATTCAGATCAGGGAATAACTTCAAACATACTTCCCAAATTAATTTAACAAATAGAAAATCACCTGATACAGTCTTCTAATGATTTTGATGATTAAAACATTCCCATGTAGGCACAGAAGCTGCATTTTTCATTCATGCAGAAATCTGAATTGTATTGATCCGACATAGTGATTCAGTTGAGATATATAAATTGGATCAATTTTCTAAATAATTCAAACAACTGACTGACTTCCTGAATTTTCACACAACCATAATTCATAATTAGTGCAGAGTATAGGTATACCACTGGCATGGCATGTAAGGATACAACATCTCACACATGTAATCAGAAGCTGAGGGTGTTGCTGGGTGGAATGGGACTGTTTGCCTCGTACCCTTGGCTGCGCCTGCCAAGGGTTCTGTCTCCAGCCATTCACTCCTAATATTTCTCCTTGGCTGACATGCCCCTAGCTGTTCGCCCTGGCCAATGGGCCCCAGCCCCTCCATCCCAGACACTTTGGCGCAGCCCATTGGACGACATACTGTTTGTCCTGGGCTTTTAGTCCCCCAGGACACTTAGCCGCCAGCCAATCTGGCTGCCAATACTGGCAGCCAGAAGCCCCCATGCAGAAGGGGAGGGGGGGTGGAAGCTCCCCTGTACCTGATCGTGCCTCTCTGATAATGAACAAATGGGAAGGGAAGAGCGGGGGGGGGCAGCCAGCTTCATCCAAAGATAGGGGGAGGGGGTAGAAGCTCCCCTGTACCTGATGATGCCTCCCTGATAACGAATGAATGAACAGGAAGTGAAGAGTGGGGATGGGGGGCAGCCAGCTTCATTCAAAGGAGTTTTTGTTTCTGGTGGATATCCTAGCCTTAGAAGGAGAGAGGGAAGGAGGAAGGGAAGTGGGGGAGAGAAAGATAGAGAGAAGGGAGACAAGAAAGAAAAGAAAGAAAGGAAAGAAAGAAAGAAAGGGGGGAAGGGAGAAAGAGGGAAGGGAAAGTGAATGAGATATGGATGGATGAAATTCCCAGAAAAGGGAGAGAGTTTACTAGGCAAGGCTGCCATGCAGAGGAAAGCAGAGCTAGTCCTTGACTTATGACAACAATTAAGCCCAAAATTTTGGTTACTAAGCAAGAGCGTTATTAAAGTGAGTTTCGATGCATTTTACTCAATCCATCCTCCAACAGTGGATATCAATCACTGTGGACCAGATTGAAAATTTGAGAGCAAAGGCCTGCCGGATCATCAGTGATTGACACACTTGTAAGGGAAGGGTAAGGGATTTACTGTATGTCCACCATTGAGCCTCAAATCTCTGTTGCGAGACAGCTGTTCAGTGAGCTATCTCCCACCATTGTTAAGCAAATAGCTGCAGCTTTTAAGTAAGTCACATGGTCGTTAAATGAATCCAGCTTCCCTATGGATTTCGTTGGTCAGGTCGCAAAAGGGGATCATGTGACTCTGGGACACTGAGGCCGTCATAAGCAAGAGTCAGTTGCCAAGCATCCAAATTTGGATCATCTGACCATGGGGATGCTGCAATGGTCATTAAGTGTGTAAAACATAAATAAATCCCTTTTATTTATGTTTTTCATAAATAAAAGGGATTTATTTATAAATCCCTTTTTCCAATGCCGTTGTACAATTAGGTACAGGGGAGCTTTCACCCCCTCCCCTTCTGCACAGGGGCTTCTGGCTGCCAGCTGTTGTGACTCTGACCCCCGAGCCTGTCCTAACAGAAGGAGAGGACTCAGAAGGTGAAGGAGAGGATTTGGCAAGGCCTCCCTCTCTAGGACCCTCCTCTCTGGCAATGCCTCAGGTTTCCTCCGAAGGCCAAGAGATATGCCAGGAACAAGGCACTTCGGAGCAGCTGCAGATAGAGAGTGAGGGGAATGAGTTTTGGCTGGATCCCAGACAGCGTCGGAAGGATAAGCACGCGCAGCAGAGAAAGAGGCGTGGGCAGGCCAGAGATTGAGCTGAGTCACTGGACCACATCCCACAAGGGATAAAAGCGGGTGTGTTGGCTATTCAGGCCTTGTGATGGACAAATTGAAAAGCTTGGAAGTCATATCATGTTTCTAGAACCCTGTTAGAATCTCTTTTTGGATTTCTTCGGACTGGACTTTGACAATTCTTTGCTTTGTGGAATTAATTTGGTATATCGGACTGAGGAGTAAAAACCTCCCTTAGTGAGTAAAATTTCTTGGCAGGCAGTTCATGGTTCGCTGCCAAGACTGTTATCTTAAAGGAATTCCTGACTGTTTGATTCATTAACTCCTGGCTGTCTGTTTGTGTGCGTGCATGCGACGGGGACAAAACATCAGCATTGGCAGCCAGATTGGCTGGCGGCTAAGTATTCTGGGGGGCTAAAAGCCAGGGACAAACAGTATGTTGTCCAATGGTCTGCGCTGAAGTGTCTAGGGTAGAGGGGCTGGAGCCCATTGGTCGGGGCGAACAGCTAGGGGCATGTCAGCTGAGGAGAAATGTTAGGAGTGAATGTCCAGAGGCGGAACCCTGGTGACCAAACAGGCGCGGCCAAGGCAGGCAAACAGTCCTAAACCCGTTGCTGGGTGTGATACTGGTACTGTACACCTGCATGCCTGCCATCCCTGTCCTACTGTTCCCAATTATATGTAATCACTTTATGTGTTTATGGCTATGTTTTGCCAATTTATATCCTTTTTTTTATGCCAAAATTTTTTCATGTGTCCATGTCTGTGTCTATTTTGTTACTTGTTTTCTTATTTGTTGACAGATGAATAACAACAACAACAATAACAACAACAACAATAATCATGGGAACCCTCATTTTAGGAGGCAGTTGTGGCTTGTTAAATCTGAGCAAATGCCAGAGGCGGCCTCCAGTAAACATTCAACACATGTTGAAATGGGGTGCTATGGGGTGCTATGGGGAAGACTACTAGTCCTCACTTAATGATGGTAATTAGGACCAGAATTCCCATCATTCAAACGAGGTGGTTGTAAAACATGATGCCACATGATCCCCATCCCTTAATGATGGCAATCCCAGCAGTCCTGGTTACTATCAATAAACCAGGATTACCGACTCTTAAGTGAGGACTTCATTTGACTGGGATTTCCAACTTCTTGCTGGCTTCCAACAAAGTCATTGGCAACTTACTAGCAGGTGGCAAGCAGGTGACTGCTATGGAGTGCAGTCAGATGGGAGGGTGCTGCGATGCAAGTACAGGTGGGGGGATAGGTGGCACGGTGCAGCATGACTGTGAGCAAGTGGGAAGAGTTGCTGCAGCATAAATGTGGCTGGGCAAGCAAAAGGTATATACTTTGGCTTGGCATGATCAGGGCCAGGAAGGGGGCTGTGTGCTATGGAGTACAAGTTCCTATGGGGAGGGATGCTACAGGCAGATACACACTATGGAATTTCAGATCCCAGGATCTCGTACTCGGTATTAGGGCTCCACGAGAGAAAAATGGGCAGCAATTTAGAGGAGTGACTTGAAACCTTCCCTGCTGGCTTTGACTTTGCTTGGCAAGCCAGCAAGGAAGGTTGCAAATGGCCATCATGTGACTGAGAGGCTATAACTGTTGTGAATGCAAAATGGTTGCCAAGTGCCCAAATCGTGATTATGTGGCAATTGGGGTACTACAGCAGCTAGAGCATCAAGTATCGGTCATAAGTGCCACTGTTCAGCACTGTTGTAACAGTGAATGAGTTTGTCTGAACGAGTAACCCAAGGACTACATTTATACAGTTTGTGGTGCTTATTCCTTAAGAACCATGCTGAATAAGTATCTTATGCTGAAATAATTAAAGGGGAAAATACAGACTGGAAACAAGGAATATAGCCCAGAATAAGACTTTTTTATGGTCATGAGAATATCCCAGGATTTCAGGTATTGCACTTTGTCTCTTCTTTTCTTCATATTGTTTTAACTGCTTGTTATTTACACAGCTATAGCAAAATGTCTTTTATCATACAGATAATAAGGAAAACATTCAATTGTTTCTTCTAATTGCCTACCTGCCTGCCTGCCTTCTAGATTTCTGAAGAAATTTACAGATCTGTAAACTCCCAAATTGTTTCACCAGATGGCAGCACTGTCCTACCTTTGTCTGTGCTTGGAAGTGATGCAGAGTCAGTTCATAACTGAATGTGAGACCACCAGAGAATCTGAGGCCTGTAAAGTAGACTGGGAAATTGAAAAACATACAGGACAGCAGTAACGACACACCACTGCTGTGCTGCTGCCAGGTAAACTGCATGGATTTTCAGGAGATAAATTTGACTAGTGGGTGTCTACCTTTTGTATTTAATCTCTCTATATAAAGTGATCTCAGCCAGGAATAAACAGCTCCGTGCACAGAACACTCCATCCATGGAGTGTCTGTTTTCAGACAATCGATGCATGGAGTGAAATTTTTAAGCTCCATAGGGTTTGCTTCATCAGAATCCAGAACAGGGCAGGTACTTTGGACAG